GCTGTACCCCAAGTCCGGGCCTTTAGGCCCTACTGTGTCCCTCTGGCCCTAAGTCGGGTCCGGTAGGACCCGTGTGGCGTCGAAGATGTAACACAACGTGTCCTCAAGTCAAAGTCCCTTTAGAGACCAGAAAATAAAGTCCAACAAGGATTGGGGATGTGGAAGAGGTTTGGGAATGAGGTTCGCAAATAAGGCTTGGGAATGAGGTTCGCGAATGAGGTTGGGGAATGAGGTTCGAGAATGACTTTGGGGAATGAGGTTTGCGAATGAAGGTCAGGAATGAGATTACTGAATGAGGCTGAGGAATGAGGTTCTCTACATCCCCACCACTTTGGACTCCCCACTCGGATGACACGTAGACATGTGCAAGAAAGAGATTGCAAAAAATAATTCTTCTGAGGACTTTCTAAGAGCATTTTCTAGCCGGAATGAGCTCGGGAGCTGGGACAAAATGAAAAAAGCGTGAAATTTGGGACATGCACTAAGAATTGAAGATTGAAGAATGAAAGGGGAAAAGAATACACAGAGGTGATCCAGAAGGAAGATCAGGATGGCCCTTGGGCAGGCATGGCACACAAAATGAGGAATATAGGGTCAAATAGTTCAATTTCTTCAAAATTTAAGAAGGACATGCCCACCGCAGCTACGCTCGCAGCCCAGACCTGCTCTCCCGTGCAAACTGGAATGAATCTTCTGCAGGAACATGAGAGATACACGGCCATATTTTTTTGTTTTCCTCCTCCTCCTTCCCCTCCTCCCACTCGCCCTTCCTCCACCTGTTTGTCATCCTCCGTGCTCTCCTCCTCCAGCTCGTCATCCCGCCCCCTCCTCCCCCCATGCAAAGTGGAATGAATCTTCCGCTGGATCATGGGGAGATGCACCGGCATATTTGTTTTGCCTTCCTGGTCGTCATCCTCCCCGTCCTTGTCCTTCCCCTCCTCCAACTCGTCATCACGGATTCACTGCCATATTTTTTGTCTCCCTCCTCCTCCTTCCCCTGCTCCTACTCGCCCCTCCACCTGTTCGTCGTCCTCCCGTTCTTCCTCCTTCCCCTAGTCCTGTTCTCCTCCTCCAGATCGTCATCCCGCCCCCTCCTCCCCCCATGCAAAGTGGAATGAATCTTTCGCTGGAACACGAGGAGATAACACGGGCATATTTTTTTTTGCCTTCCTGGTCGTTGTCCTCCCCATCCTCCTCCTCCCACTCGTCATCACGGCCATATTTTTTTGCCTCCCTCCTCCTCCTTCCCCTCCTCCCACTCCCCCCTCCTCCACCTGTTCGTCGTCCTCCCGTCCGTCCTCCTTCTCCTTGTCCTGCTCCCCTCCTCCAGCTCGTCATCCCGCCTCCTCCTCCCCCCATACAAAGTGGAATGAATCTTCCTTTGGAACATGGTGAGATACACGGGCATATTTTTTTTGTCTTCCTGGTCGTCCTCCTCCCCGTCCTCCTCCTTCCCCTCCTCCCACTCGTCATCCCGCCCCTTCTCCACCTGTTCGTCGTCCTCCCGTTCCTCCTCTGGCGGGGCCTGTTCGTCGTCCTCCCGTTCCTCCTCCTTGCCCTCCTCCTGCTCCCCTCCTCCGGCTCGTCATCCCGCCCCCTCCCCCACCTTGCAAAGTGGAAAGAATCTTCCACCGGAACATGGGGAGATACAAGGGCATATTTTTTTGTCTTCCTGCTCGTTGTCCTCCCCGTCCTCCTCTAGCCAGCCACATTTTGCCACTTTCTGCCTTCTGCCCCTCTCCTGTCGGACACGACTCTCATCCAGTCTGTGGAGCACGGACGCTGCCAGCTGCTCTCGAATGCCACGCTCGTTCCATGCCCCCTCTCCTTCGTTTCCTACGTTATGCCCCACCGCTACCTAGCTACGCTATGCCGCTCTTCTCTCAATCACGCTCATGGCTCGCCGCGCTCGCTTGCTCACAACGGATCTGAGCGGCGCTGGTCGATTTCGATTCGCACGTGGAATGCCGCCAGTCGGCCGTAACCCACAAACTTTGTGCCTAGCACTTTTGGGTTGGGCCCGGCTTCGGCGATCGAGAGACTTCGCGCCTGGCCACCCCCGGTCTGAGTTTTGCCTTGGGCCCGCCCTGGTCCCAACATGACTTTTCCCAATACTGGCATGGCGAGTCTCACGTGGCAGCGTCACGCGAGACCCGCTGTTTGCTTTAAGAGTATTTAAGGAAAAGTAACAAAACAGAAAAAGGGAACACAAACAAAGAAAGGAGAAGAAGAAGGAGAAGAACCAGAAAATAAAGCAGATTATGGCAACTTCTTTTTTTTTTGTTTCCCTCTGACAGCTAGCTATGTTTTGAGGTTTTACTTTCAATGTGTTGAATGGCACTATGCAGGCCATGTCACTCATGATTGTTGGTCGACAGATCAGGAATTTAAATCCTGATGGAGGCAAAAGTATTGCAGCTACCGACTTAAAGAGAAAAAGAAAAAAAGCGGCAGTCACCAACCTGCTCCAGAATGCTTAGGAACTCTTGAGCAATCGCCTTGAACTGCTTTGCGGCCATTGCAACTTCGACATCACGGACCAGCGCATCATTCTCTGCTCATGTGGGCAAGACCAACGACGAAGAAGAATTCTTAAGGACAAATCACAAACACAAGGGCCGAAAAATTGGGAAGGTCAGACAAGTCCCAGTCCTAAACACAACCGAGGAAACCGGAAGCCTAAACACGAAGACGGAAACCGAAACATTGCAGAGCAGTCCCAAACACAAGGAATCACACCAAAACAAGCACTGCCTAGCCCTAAACCTTAAGCCCCAAACAACGAGTCCGAGACAGGAAGCCGGACAACGAAACAAGTAGAGCAGTCCAAACATAGAAACCAAACCAACGAAGAGCACTCCTAAACACGAAGGCAGAACTCGAAACAAGGAGTGCTAACCACAAAGACAAAAAACAAAATCAGTAGAGCAGTGGTAGAACGCATGTTTTGCAAGTATGAAGTTACCGGTTCAAGTCCGATCGTCTCCAATTTTCCCGTGAGCCCATGTAGCTCAGGTGGTAGAGCGCGGATGAGTTATTCTTTCAAGATTTCACATTTTGTTGGTATGCTTGTTCTGAGTATCACATGTTTTTGCTTCGTTCCACTCTTGTGACATGCTGCTTTCTTGTGAAGCGTTGTAATCAACCGGTCAAATGACTAGCTCCTCACTCCTCAACAACATGAAGGCGGCACCCAAACAAAATAATGAATCAACAAACATGAAGGCAGGCACCCAAACAAAACAATGAGTCAAAAACAGGAAGGCAGGCACCCAAACCAAACAATGAATCACAAACACAAAGGAAGACACCTGAACAAAACAAGGAATGCAAAACATGAAAACGGAAAACAAAACCAACTAGAGCAGTCCACATGAAGATCGAAACCGAAACAAGTAGACTAGACCCAAACACAAAGGTGGAAACCAAAACAGTCAGTCCTACACATGAATACGGGAAATGAAATAAAGGATCACATGTTGATGAGCTTTCAGAAAGGACGCAAGAGAGTTCCAAACAGAAAGGTGGAAACCGAAACAATGAGTCCCATAAACGGATATGAGGATGGCACATTGATGAGCTTTCAGAAAGAAGCAAGGGACGTGTGCACAGATTTGGAGTCAGAAGGATGGGAGTGGTGGGTGAAGTGTACAAATTTTCTCAGAATTATTCCCTCCTCCTTTGGGGTGGCGTCAAACTTTTCATTTGGTGTGATCCACAGCATGGTAATCAACACACACATGCCACAATGTGCAACAAACTGGTAAATGGCAGTGTGCGCCCAGAGATATCAGTCTTTCCATGTGAGGTCGCGAGGTCCATCAACAATGACAGGTCATTGCTGATGGAACTGATCAGACTGCTGATGGAACTGATCAGACTGCTACCAGCTCATTTCCTTGAACGGCATACTCACACAAAGCTTTCCTGACATATACTCACACAAGGCCTTCCTTCATGTATGTCGACACAAGGTTTGCCCGCTTTACGCCTGAAAGTCCTACCGTCTCCACCTGAATAGGACGCCTGGTCATTATAGCTGTATTTCCTATTTAGGGCAACTTTCAGTCTAAGATACAGTTATAACAGCGAGACGCTGGCGAGAATGGAGCAATTCTTACTTGGAGATTGTGGGATCGCATATGGCAGAAGTTCGGAACGGACTGTGAATATGGCCTTGGGACTGGTGTGCGTCACTATGTGGCTACTGGACCGCATAAGTCAACCCCTTTACAGCTAACATCTTTGAGCTCAGGAGAAAGGCAGTCCTCTGGGCACTCTGGTGGAGACTCTGTACATGACCAACCCAAGTGGCGCAAGTGAGGGAAGGTGTAGCATATCAGGAAGTGAAATGCACGGAAGCCTAAGATCTAGCAATGATGAAAGTAACAACGACCGGCAGCATAGATGCAACATTCGAGATTATGATAATGTGCACAATGCAAAGAATGAACTAACGAGAAACCATCAACAATGTATTCACATCATCATCATCATAGGCTGGGGAAACAGCGCAGMGGAAGACTCAAATCATCATAGGACACAAGGTGGGACAACACACAAGAGGAGAACTTCGGAAGAGCCGTACATCAGAAAGATGGCTCTTCCGCTCACACACATGGGGAGGGAACCATAGACAAGGTTGGAGGGAAAAGCGAGACACAGGATGTAACCAAGTCTGATCCCAATCTGCTCCCCAAATGTCGTACACAGTCCAATCCCAATGTTGAGTTCAAGTCCGATCCGAATGTCGTGTCCACTATGGCAGCACGCCGTGTCCAGAACAATGTCTGCAGTTACCTCTATCTCTACTCTGATGAAGAAGAAGAAGAAGAAGAAGAAGAAGAAGAAGAAGAAGAAGARG